TAGATAATTAGCACAATAGGTCATGCCAAATAAACAATTATGCCTGTCGTAATTTTTAAACATGCCCCTAAATTTTCCCTTGTCTTATCCATGGGTCAAATCAAAATCCACAATTTTGGGACTCAAATCTGTCTTCCACTTATATACGAGGTTGACCTATAGTCAAGTATATATGGTATTATTAATGCACTAGAGGAAAAATTCCAAAGTCAACATGAAGTCAACCATTCTTGTTTTTTTCCTACAAAGTCAAATTTCATGTACAGTAAAGATAGCAATTGAAGGGGGAGAGGAGGAGGAAGGTAGGGAGAGAAGAAGAGTGAGAGAGACTGGCTTTTGTATAAATCTTTAGTTTTTTACTAAAGAGCTCTGATCATCTAAAAATGCATACCAATATCATGAAATTCCTAACTTGAAGGCACATACACACACATACAGCCTATGTCAAATAATTAGAAATGCTTGCAAGTTATTTCCAGAGAAGCAGAACTTCAGTTAAAGTCAGATGCTACTTACTTCCTCAGAGAATCAATTATGTCCATAGAAAAATTCTCATCCCAGCCACAATCCAACAGGAAGCGAAACTCATCTACTTGAAGTAAATAACAGAGAGCTGATTCTTCCTGCACCCCTGAGAGGGTGGTTAGCTTGATAATTGAAGTCATTCTTTTCAAGTGTGCTCACTTAAATTTGCTACTGTAAGAGAATAACATGTATTTTACAACCAAAGAAGACTTTTTTTTTTGCCATTGTGTTCCAAAACTGCACCAAGCCCTAGAAACATGAAGATCTCATATTATCAATCTATTAATATAACGTATCAATACCCAGGTAGCGCATCACATATAAGCGCAAACACATCTGAGTGGGCCTACAGAGACAGAAATTGATCACTTCTAATAGGCCTGAGTCACCAGGAAGTAGGTTTTGTCTGCACTAACTACTTTCTTCCAGGACAATGACTGACTGAATTTTGTGAAGCCAACAGTTTGTTCATTGCAAACACATTCTTCAGGCAACCAAATAGACGACTGTATAGATGACATCACCTGATGGCCAACATAGAAATCAAATATGCTACATAATTGTAAGCAGACTTGGCACAGACCATGAACTGCTGGTATCAGAAATAAGAGTAAAGCTAAACGAGAACACTAAATCAAATAACATGCCAAAATACAACTTGTAGAACATCCCCATAGAATTTAAAGGGAATGTAAAAAATAATTTGCACCATTAAGCCTAATTGACTGGAAGCCAGAAGAACTGTGGACTGAAGCAAGGGATATTATCAAAGAGGAACACAAAAATATGCTATTTTGCAGCCAAACAGAAAGCAAAGTATCAATGGATGACAGATGAAAGCTCCTCTGAATAAATCTTGCCAAGAAAACCCCCTAATAGGGTCACATTAGACTAGTCATCATAAGTCGGAAAGAACTTGAAGGCGACAACAAAGTTGTAAGAAAAAAGGAAGATCCCATGCCAGATGAATAGACTCAATCAAAGAAGCCACGACCCTGAGTTTTGCAAGACCTGGGCAGGACTGTGACAAGGTGACTTGTTTGGTGGTGTCTCATTCACAGAGTTGCCATAAGTCAAATATGACTTAACAAAACAATGTCAAAAATACTTTTGCCATTTCCTCATATTAAATGCCCAGATGTACAGAGAAGTGGTGCTTGCTGAACTTACCATCTCATCCTAAAGAGCCACTAGATTCAGTTCCAATAATCATATTAAGTTGTGAGTCAGTGTGATGTAATGGTTTGAGCAACTCTGGAAACCAAGGTTCGAACCCTAGCTCTGTCATGGGATTTGTAGTTTTCTGTGGTACCACAGCTCTCTGACAGAAAAGGCTAAATAATTCACAAAACAACAAATCCCTGAATTCCATAGCATAAAGCGATGTCAAACTGGATTATTAATTCTGCAGTGCAGATGCAGCCATTTGTTTGTGGACTGCACCTGGGTTTGACCTCCACTGATTACCAAGAACACAGGAGGGAAGTCCCAAAGCTGCAAATGCAATGCAGAAATAATCCAGATTGGCACAGCCTTAACTGCTGTGGCTTCATCCTATGGAATTCTGGGATTTGTAGTTTGTTGTGGCACCAGTGAGATCAGTTTGGGTGGTAAGACTACAACTCTAGGGAGTAGGGTTCAAACCACAGCTTGGCCATTTAAAACCAGTGAGAGTGTCCTTGGGCAAGTGAAAGTCGCAAAAAACTTGATGGGCCACAACAACACCACTGGGTAACCCTGGGCAAGTGACACTCTCAGCCTCAGGAGATGGCAATGGCAAACCCCTTCTGATGATTCTGGCTCAGCCATGTAAACCCACTAGGTGACCTTGGGCAAGTGACACTCTCTCAGCCTCAGAGGTAGGCCATGGCAAACCCCTCCTCATGATCCTGGCTCAGCCATGTAAACCCACTAGGTGACCTTGGGCAAGTGACACTCTCTCAGCCTCAGGGGATGGCAGTGGCAAAAGCCTTCTGATGATCCTGGCTCAGCCATCCAGGGGTAGGCAACCTTTCCTCTTTAAGGGCCGAGGGACTTCAGCTCCCAGAAGCCTCAGCCATGTTGGCCAATAGTCCCATGTTGGCCAATAGCTCCTGGGATTCTGGGAGCTGAAGTTCCTCGGCCCTTAAAGGGGAAAGGTTGCCTACCCCCTGATATAAACCCACTAGGTGAGTTTGGGCAAGTGGCACTCTCTCAGCCTCAGGGGATGGCAAACCCTTTCTGATGATGCTGGCTCGGCCATGTAAACGCAGTAGGTGGCCTTGGGCAAGTCACACTCTCTCAGCCTCAGAGGAAAGCCATGGCAAACACCCCTCTGGGAAAAAATCTTGCCATTAAAAAAAAAAAATTGCCAAGAAAACCCCATGACAGATTCGTCTTAGGGTCGCCATAAATGGGAAACGACTTGAAGGCACATAAAAACGATCAGATGAAAGATTATAACGCAATCGACATTAAGGGAATCTAGCTGCGCCCCACTCCAAATGAGGGGCAAAGCAGCACCCCCAAATCCTCTTTGCCCTCTTCATTTCCTAACCCACCCGGCAGCAGTCGTCTCCCTTTTCCCCCAAAATCTTTCCCTCACAGGAAAGGCGGGAATTGCTCCATCGTGTCAGGAATGCATGTGAGGCACAGGAAGAGAAAGCGAGGGTTTCTCTGGCTCCTCTTTGGCACTCATTGTCGCCCTTACCTGTATAAACAGCCCCTGGTTAATTCCCGGACCCTAAATCTACTGGAGCTCTGAATGGGGAAAGAAAAACGGCCATTCCAGGCCTCTCTCTGGTGATCCTGGCCGCCATTTTGGCCGGAGAGGGGCTAGAGAGGAGGAGGAAGGGAGTATACCACTCTGTTCACGGGGGGGAAACAAATCCTTCAGGGAAAGACATTTTCATTCAAACAACCTCTTCAATTGTTTAATATGTATTAAGAGACTCTCTAAAAATATCCCGAGTCGTATGGGGTAAGGGGCTCTCCGCGGTGGAAAAGAAACGTCTACGGCTCCCCCCTCCAGTTAATGGACTCTTCCACCTTCCTGGGAGGCTCCTTCGCTGGTCTCTTCCTTTTTCTGTCAGTCCCTATTTGGGTTGAGAGGGAAAGGAAAGGCCTGTAGGAAAGGTAAGGTTGAGGCCTGTGAAATGGCGGAAAGGGTGGTCTGTGAGAGAGAGAATTACCTCAAAGAAGGGACTAGGAGAGCCAGCTCTGTGTCTTGGGTGGCGTCGTGTAAGGTTAGACTTCTAATTTTGTTGTTGTTGCTGTGTGTCTTCAAGTTCTTTCTGACTTATGGCGACCCTAAGGCGAACCTGTCATGGCAAGTCTCCTCAAAGGGGTGGGTGGGTTTGCCTTTGCTTTCCCTTGAGGCTGAGAGAGTGCGATTTGGACGGACAAAGTCGCACAGTGGGTTTACATGGCTGAGCCAAGATCATCAGAGGGGGTTTGCCATTGCTTACCCTTAAGGCTGAGAGAGTGTGACTTGCCCAAGGTCACCCAGTGGGTTTACATGACCGAGGCACAATAATCGGAGGGGGTTTGCCATTGCTTTCTCTTGAGGCTGAGAGTGTGTGACTTGCCCAAGGTCACCCAGGGCCTTTGCAGACTGCCAGAAATAGTGCAAATTGAGTCCACTTTAACTGCCCTGACTCAGTGCTAGGGAATCGTGGGAACTGTAGTGTATTGTGGCACCAGAGCTCTCTGACAGAAGGCTCAATGTTTCAGAAAAAAATACAATTCCCATGATTCCCTAGCACTGTGCCAGGGCAGTTAAAGGGGACTCAGTTTGCACTATTTCTAGCAGTCTGCAAAGTCTTCCAGTGGGTTTACATGGCCGAGGCAGGATCATCAGAGGGGGCTTTGCCATTGCTTTCCCCTGAAGCTGAGAGAGTGTGACTTGCCCAAGGTCACCAAGTGATGATGTTGTGTGCCTCCAAGTCCTTTCCTACCTAAAGCGACTCTATCACGAGGCTTTCAAGGCATTTTTCTTCAGAAGGGCTTTGCCATTGCTTTCCCCTGAAGCTGAGAGAGTGTGACTTGTCCAAGGTCACCCAGTGGGTTTACATGGCTGAGCAGAGATTTGAACTATGGTCTCTAGAATCATAGTCCAACACTCAAACCACCATGCTGGTTACCGAGACATAAATCCCAGTGAACAAAGTGGGACGTACTATCTATTTAAGCACTCTCACTGGAATCACCCAGTCTTGTGTGCCATCAAACTTGTGGCAAACCTATCATGGGGTTTTCTTGGCAAGTTTCCTCGGGGTGAGGGTGGGGGTTACCATTGCCGTCCCCTGAGGCTGAGAGTGTGTGACTTGCTCAACATCACCAAGTGGTGCTGTTGTGTGCCTTCAAGTCTTTTCCTATCTAAGGCAACTCTATCACGGGGTTTTCTTGGCATGTTTCTTCAGAGGGGGGCTGCCATGGCTGCCTTCCCCTGAGGCTGAGAGAGTGTGACTTGACCAAGTTCACCCAGACGTTTTCCATAGCCAAGCTGGGATTCGAACCCTGGCCTCTCAGTGTCCTAGTCCAGTGCTCAAACCACTAAACCAGGCTGACCCTCATAGACAACCAGTACTGGGTATGTAGATTCAGGTATATATTCAGGAATAGTGGGTTCAGATTAGCTGCCCACTTGGGCTGCATCTGCACTGCAGAATTAATGCACTTTGACATTGCTTTAACGGCCATGGCTCAGGGTGAGATGTTTAGCCTTCTCTGTCAGAGAGCAATGGTGTTACTTGTTGTGTGCCTTCAAGTCGTTTCTGACTCATGGCGACCCTGAGGCCATGAACCTATCATAGGGTTTTCTTGACAAGTTTCGTCAGAGAAGGTTTGCCTTTGCCTTCCTCTGAGGCTGAGAGGGTGTGACTTGCCTAAGGTCACGGGGGGGGTTGCCACGGCCGAGCCAGGATTCAAACTCTGGTCTCTAGAATTGTAGACCAACACTCAAACCACTACGCCACTCTGGTTTCACTGATGCCCCAACAAACTACAGATCCCATGATTCCAGAGGATGAAGCCAGATCAAACCGGAAACCTCCCTGGAAGCCAAGATGAACAAACTGAGACTGTCATATTTCGGACATATCATGAGTAGAGAAGACCCATTAGAAAAGACAATAATGCTGGGAAAGGTGGAGGGAAGTAGGAAGAGAGGAAAGCCACATGCCAGATGGATGGACTCTATTAAGGAGGTCATGGGTATTAAGGGGTTGCAGGATTTAAGCAGAGCAGTGGAAGACATAGGGTTGCCATGAGTCGAGATTGACTCAAGGGCAGTTAACAACAACAAACTTGATTATTTCTGCAGTGCAGATGCAGCCTTGGCTTTTTTTCTGCATTTGTGATAATCAGTGGAGGACAAATCCAGGTGCAGTCCAGTGAAAGGGCTGCTGCATCTGCACTCAGAATTAATCCAGTTTGACACTGCTTTTTGCTATAGAATTCTGGGAATTCTGATGTTTTGTGAGATATTTAGCCTTCTTAGTCAGAGAGCTCAGGTGCCACAGCAAGTGACAAATCCCATTACAGATAAAGCACTGTCAAACTGCATTAATTCTGCAATGTGGCAGCACGAGCAGCAGGACCTAATATTGTGTTCTAAAGGGGCACATGTGCTAGGACTATAGCTTTTTTCATCACTTTGGCTCTGCTAGCAGTTCTGTCACCTAATGTTGATGATCACCCCTTTAGTCTTACTTTACACCTATCTGTTTTGGCCAAATTTCCTAAAGGCACTACATTCTATTTGATCTTGGAAGTTAGGCAGGGTCAGTCCTGGTTGGTACTGGGATGGGAGACCATCAAGGAATGCCAGGTGCTGTAGGCTATATTTCAGTGGAAGGAACTGGCAAAACCACTTCTGAGTATTCCTTACCTAAGAAAACCCTATGAAATTCATGGGGTTGCCATAAATTGACAGGTGGTTTGAAGCCACATATGGTGGGACCTCACTATTGATGGGGGATCCATTCCAGACCCCCTTCCCACAGATACCAAAATCCACAGATGCACAGATGCGTGCACGCATTTGCGCCACCATTGGGGACAACGGGACTTCAGGTGCATGTGGTTGCATCACTGGGCATAACAGGGGTTGTCCCTAATGGCGGCGCAACCATGTGCACACATCACCATTGGTGACAACGCAGACTTGTCAGCCACAGATACTTAAATCTGTGGATGGCAAGTCTGTGGATACCAAGGTCTCACTGTATAAATATCCATTTAAGGTAGGTACATAGTATAACTTCTTTTGTTTGCACTATGAACATACCCTTGACAGAAGCTGCTGTATGTTGAAGCTGAAATTAACTTGGAGACTTATGGGCCTTTGCAGACTGCCAGAAATAGTGCACATTAAATTGAGGCACTGCCCTGGCTCAGTGCTGGGGAATCATGAGAATTGTAGTTTTTTTTCTGAGACATTGAGCCTTCTCTGTCAGAGAGATCTGGTGCCACAATAAATTACAGTTCCCATGATTCCCTAGCACTGAGCCAGGGCAGTGCCTCAATTTAATGTGCACTATTTCTGGCAGTCTGCAAAGATCATTGTAAATCGACTTATTTCTGCAGGAAATAGGAGCAGTTTCACAATATCTGTATTCAGCAAGGGGAGCCAGCAGAGTGACTGATGCTCAACAGGACCTGATATGCATCAGGACCCTGGCTAAGGAGTGCTGATACACATCAGTAGAGCACATCTTTGCAGTTCACTAAAAGATTTCCTTCCTGCTTCTGTTACATAGCTAAGTATGTATATGCAACAACATAGTATTCTAGCCTCTCATGGTAACTTGTAGGTTAGATTTTAAAATGTTTTTCACATAAAGTGAATTATATGTAGGAATGTTGCTACATGTGAAATGGTTTACATCAAGGGTAGGCAAACTTTTTGAGCCGGGTGCCGGGTTGCTGCCCCTCAGACAATTGGGAGGCCGAAGCACCAAAAATAAATAAAGAAATAAATAAAAATAAAAATAAATAATTTTTAAAAAAATTTTTTAAAATATGCATGCACACTCTCTCAGCCCCAGAAAAGCCATGGCAAAACCCCTGTGGAGATTTTGCCAAGAAAACCCCAAGAATAAGTAATAACAACAATAATCAATATCATTATGGCGGGGTGGCGGCGGCAGCGGCGGCAGCGGTGGCAGGACCGGCCTGGGGCCGGTCCAAAGGCCTGGGGAGGGGGCGCATCTAGCCCCCGGGCCTTAGGTTGCCTACCCCTGGTTTACATAGTCTGAGCCTCAGCACCTTTCCTTAGAAGGAAATCCCATTGATTCAGTGGAACATGCTTCTTATTAGTTATGCTTAAGGTTATCATAAAAGTAAGAAAGGTGGAGAAGAGAGCAACCCAAATGATCTTTCCTATGGAAACAAGCCAAAGTATTTCGGAAATCTTAATTTAGGGGAAAATACAATTTTTCCCCATACTCATAATCATAAAACTTGGGATCATCTGTTGAAATTGATCCTTTAAACCATTAGTAAGTGTTTTTGCCTAACTTTTCTAATAAGTGATTTACATGTTTTGAGCATACATAAATGTTTTGCTGAATGCAGTATTTTCGGTTCTCTTTCTTTTTAGTAACTATGGTGAATATTATCCAGATTGTGCGAGATCACTGGGGCCTGACTTTGGTTCCCATAGCATTTGTGGTGGGATGTTACTTTGACAGGAGGAATGATGAGAAACTGGCACTCTACAGAAACAAGAGCAAATTATTTCAAAGGTTAGTTATTGAGAGGGGAATCCCTCTGAGAGACATAATATTAATATTGTATTTAAAGTTCAAAACCTGATACTTTCTACAATATATTTGTGGAATGTTTGTGGACAAATACAGCTGCTAATATATTTTACTGTTTTGATCCATGCCCTACCTACAGATGATTTTACTTCAATGTGTTACATTGAGGGCTGATGCTGAAGATTTAGAAGCATCTGCTAAAAGCACATCAAATATGGCTTCCAGATTCTTGACTGGCATCCAAATTATGCCAGTTTTAAAAGTTTCACCAGCTGCATTGAATTATAGAATTGTAGAGTTGGAAGAAACCTCAAGGGCCATCCAGTCCAACCCCCCTGCCATGCAGGAACACAGAATCAAAGCACCTCACAGATGGCCATCCAGCCTCTGTTTAAAAACCTCCAAAGGATACCCCATCACATTCCGAGGCAGTGTATTCCACCATCAAACAGCTCTTACTGTCAAGAAGTTCTTCCTAATGTTGAGCTGGAATCTCTTTTCCTGTAATTTGAATCCATGTTTGCTTCCAAGTCATGATGGAAGCATGTGATTCAAAGCCCTAAGCAGCTGGAGCCTTAATGAAGCACTTAGTCCATGTCATTCTGCCCATGTTATAATCTGCCAAGACCCTTCAGCAGATGCTACTTAGATCTGAGATAAGAGCATCATTAACAAAATAATGCCAGTTTTGGTAGTGGTGCCAAAATGTGGAATGTCCTTCCCAAAGGGATTTCCTCACCAACGAAAGTAATTTTTAGGCAAAAATGTTGCATTGTATCTTGTAGAGTTTATCAGCAGAATGAAAACTGCATTCCCCATATGCATTCTCTATAGCTCTCATTCATGAGAGAGATGTTTGTGTGGTTAGCTTGTTAAAACAGGTTGTGGCAGATTGCTTTAAAAGAGGATAAAACTTTTGGAGCTGCAATTCTGACATTTTCATTAAATGAAAGATTGGGGGTGAGGGAGGGCTTGGGGCCTGTGAGTACAGTTTTGGAGAACAAGCTGCATGCACCCTGTAAGCAAGAGGTTTCCTACCCCTCTTCGTTTGTTAGCCTCTGTATGGTGGTGGTGTCTTCTGATAACTAAATTTATTTAGAAGATATAACTGAAGAGAGCTGAATATCCCGACTATTTTTTTTAAATTAGCAGACAAGTAATGCATGCTGTTAGGGGCAGTTTGTGTGTTAAGAACATTCGGCTAGATGTATTTTGAATTTTTTTTAAAAGTTACAAACATGATTTTATTTATTAAAATAAGTTTTCATTTTTATTAATTTGAATCTTGTTGGAGGAAGTGTAGAAGTGTAGGAGTTACAGAATAGCTAATTACTTAGCAGAGCATACTTTTAAATGTAAAATATTTTTTTCTGGAAGAACACATTCCTAATATGGTGATCCTCTATTTTATTTTCACAGGGAATTGAAACCTGGAGAAGAAGTCACATGGAAATAATGTGTCAAATGAGAAATACTTCCATACAATTAAATTCACCTGTTTAAGAAGTATATGATTGTGTCATCAAGTGAAACAAAAATCTTTAGTCAAACTCCTTTCTCCAGGCCCATCTCTGTTAAATTGATGACTTTAGCAGGAGTTTGGAAAACTACTTTTAAGAAGAAAAATATAACTTTTACTCCAGTTATGGATGAGTTCATTATGTCATTACATTCTCAATCAAGGAATTACAGACTCAATCAAGGAAGCTACAACCCAAATCTGAAAGACCTGAGCAGGGATAGTGATGAGCAGGTGACTTCGAGGTTGCTCATTCATAGGGTTACCATAAGTCGATGAGA